GCCCTTCTGCGGTCTCACAAAAGGCTTTCTGTTGAGAGAGCAGTGCTTCGTGCTGCTGAAATGATTAACAAGGCCCTCTCTGTTGGTTGAATTCATGACATAAAACACAAAGGATGAGAGGATGCAGATCATGAAGTAATTATTCAAAGTCAGGAAGATGCATATCTTTATTATTCAAGGACATCTGTGGAGTTATGAGGTCACTTTTAGGTTTCCACTTATTAAAACAAGCTTTTTGGCTTCTTTTAAGTATTTTTTCCCCATTTTATTTATTCTGATGCAGTCTCCATCCCATAGATCATCCAGGACTTTAATGGTAGAGAATTTCTCTGTTTTCGTGCAGGAATGTCCGCGCCGGAGGCCACTGGCAGCTACCTGTAAAGTTTTCCTGGAAGCAAGGGCTTTTCCATTACATCTGAAGTCTTTGTTGGCCGTGCATTAAAAGAAAAAGCGATGGCCAATCATCAGTTTCATTTGTGCATTAAATCAACAGCACCCAGCTGCTAATCACTCCCTTAATTCGCCCATTTCACTGCTGATATGGATTTGGATAGATTAAAAAAAAACTTAAACTTAAGGGGCTGCACTCCATTAAGAGGAAGTTGTGCTCCTGCAGCTGTAGGAGAAAACACCTTCATTCTCTCGTAAACAACTAGTGAAACGGTCGCGTTGCCAAAGACGGTTTTCTGCATTGAGAATTCAATTAAACCCGACCACGTTAGAGAACTGAAGGGTAAATAACAACTTTATTAATTTTCTAGTTCAAACAACAAAAAGACAGTGGAGGGAAAAACATTGCACATTTTAAAATCTTATTGCATTTTGCACATCTCCTCCTCTTTGGGAGACAGAGGCCAGCACACCTCCTTTGGGTCATCTTCATCTCCTGCAGAGAACAAGAGAGATGCATTTCTAGAGAATCTAACTCGCTGATGTTGCAGAAACATTTTGTACAGAAGCTAATTTTTAGGCTTGTTTACAAACCTGCTGAGAGGCGTCGGCTTCAGCTTTAGCGTGCTTGTTGTTTTGTTTGTGTTTGCAGCTGCTCCTCGAGGTGCTGCACCTGATAAATAAGGAAGATTTCATTGTTTGTGCCTCTGAAAACTAACCAGGTGCAGCAGGACACCTACAGCGAATATGGAGGCGGAGATTTTAAATGTTCTGTTAATTATTTGAACCGACTTCATGTTTCAGCTAAGCGTCTCGTTCTTGCTGATGCCGGCTCCACTGCTCCTGCTGGCTGAGCTTTTCCTGAACGGCTGACATCTGGAATCAGACGGATGAAGGTGTCATTTAGAGTAGGGATGCACCGATACAGATACCAGTATCGGTAAAAGTTAACCGATACCAATGCAGTTGCTTGAAAATGGCTTCACTGTAACTTGTCATTTCTGTTCACCTAATATTTTAGTTTTGTGATGATTTCCACTCATATATTTTACTTTTCATCTACCTCACAGACTTTTCCTGTTGGCAGCAGAGATGAAAATAAAATCTGTATTCCAAATCATTGAATTTTTTTGTGCGGTAGAAGTATCGGTATCGACGAGTACTCAGATCCAAGTATCGGTTTGGAAAAAGGTGGTATCGTTGCATCCCTAATTTATAGAGTTGCTTTAAAGCCAAATCTAATCTTTATTCGGATAATTAGTGACCATGTTAGGTAAACATAACCAACCATGCGTATCCTGTCCTCCAGCTCCTCTCCGAGCTGCCTCTTCTCCACTCTCATGCCTTCCAGCGCCTCCTGCAGCTGATCCCGCTCCTCACTGAGAGACGAAACTCTGCTCAGCACCTCCTGCAACTCCTCCTTGAAGGTCTGCTGACTGGTTTCCTTCTCACAGAGCCGATTATCCCTCTCAGCATCAACGCCCCTCAGACTCTGCACCAGATCATTTATCTGTGGCTCCAACGAACCTTTAGACTTGAGCAAGACTCCTTCTCCTCCATCCGTTTCTCTGGATCAGACGTCACGCTCCTCTGTTCATAGAGCTCGTCTTGGGCGGTCTTTAGAAGCTCCTGTGTTGATGATACCTTAAAAACATTAAATATGAATCAAAGACGATTCCCCCAAAATGATCCCACACCACAACATCAGCACAGATCTTCCAGCCTCACCTTCTCCACCAGCTGCTGGTTCTGCTCAGTAAGAGTCTTTAGAGTTGTATTCAGCTCTCCTGTCTATGGGTGCTGAGGTAAACATCTTCAGGTTTAAAGCCCAACATGTGTAACACTTTCTACCACAAACCTCAGCTTGGAGCATCTCCGCCCTGTCCTCCAGCTCTTCTCTGAGTCGCTACTCCTCTCTCAGTCCTTCCAGCTCCTCCCGCAGCTGGTTGTTCTCCTCGCAGAGAGACAAACGCAGCTTCTCCATCTCCTCCAAGTGATTCCGACTGATAAGATTCTCAGACAGCAGATTGTCCCCCGCTGCTCCTACGGACTCCACCTCTGCAGTCAACACCTGAGTTTGAAAAAATGAACAAGTGAATTTAACCATTTCGTTCTGCTCTCACTGCTCCTTTATTTATTCTCCGAGCAGAAACCTGGATGATTCCTACTTTGACTCTGGACTTGAGAGACCGGACTCCCCTCTCTGCCTCGTTCTTCCTCCTCTCCAGCACTTCCATGTGAAGCTTCAGAGCTGTGAGCTCCTCCTGCAGGACTCTGCTCTCCTCCTCAGACACATCCAGGTTCTCCTGTTTCTCAGCAATCTGAAACAACAATTCCAAACCAACTCGTGAATAACTTGTGCTTAAAGGAGTAAAAAGGGTTTAGGTTGAGGAAAGAAACTCACTAGCTTGACTTGGTCTTGCAGGTCAAACTTTAACCGACCCACCTCCTCTTTTGCGTTCCCTAACATCTTATCCAGCTGATCAATCAGGAGCACAGAGCAGGGGAACACAAACGGCCTTGTTCAGTGATAAAACAAAGAAAAACAAGGAACCCATCAGAGAGTTAAGAATAAAGAGGCTGAACCTGGAATTGGCGATTCTCTTGGTTCTCCGTCAGCAGCTGTGGCTCAGAGGTGAGCTGCTGCTGCTGGAAGTCACCCTGCATCTGTGCAAAGAAAACCTGGGCATTAACACACAACAGGCTTAAATGAGCCAATCAAAAATTATTTTCACTTTCACTAAAAAAAGGTACATTGAAAAAGCTTCAACACTTCAAATAGAACATTTTCTATTAGATTCAAATAAATTGAGTTCATTCAGCTGAAATTAGGTGTAACATGTAAGAATGACATCCTGTGGCTAAATGTGGGTACTGCAGCCCCTTATCACACTTTCTCACTGCCATTGCTCAGTTTCATGGCTGTTGCCGGTTACGATCAGCACCAGAAGACTCTAGAGGAGGAGCGAAGACGAGTCGTACTCAGTAAGTTGATAGGTAGATAAATGATGTCACTGTAATATCGACTTGTTGGCAACGGCGCCATCAAAAACACGAAGAGAACTGAAGATATGTAGCGGCAGACATGAAGCATCTTGGAGAATACCTCAGGGAACAAAGTCTAAAAATATAAATGTTCTATTCACCCGTGAGTGGAGGAGTGACAGGATAAGAGCAAGCGTTTTATTCTGGATTTAGAGGTGGCTAGCGCACAAAGAGGTGAAGAATAATGAGGGACTAATTCGTCTGTGTTAAATCGTCACTGAAATACAAAAAACGCAACAGTAAATGCACTATTTTGGAAAGGATACATGACAGGATATCCCAGAACAATGCTACGCCCTCTTGTTCTGGCGGGGAATTGCTTTGCAACACTCCCCAGGAGACGGAGAAGTCTAAATGCAAAACGTCTCCGTCTGTGCGTGCGTCTCTCCCTCGTGGAGCTGACGGGGAAGTATAAATTAGCCTTTAGGGATACAAGAAATAACTTCTGGGTCACTCCCGTTTACTAGCTTAGGGTCTGCCGTGTTTTGCCAGCCAGTGTGGAACTCCAAATGCCGGCGCTGCAGCGTTAGCTCGGCCCAGAATCGTAACCTCTTGGGCTCACGGATTGTAAACAAAAGCTACGTCCCTCTTTTGCATTTTTTGAAAGGTGAAAAATAAACAGCCTAAGAAAGTTAATCTGTTTCAATCGAACCTTTCTTCCAACATGACTGACACATTAGACTTTTGAAATTTCATAGTTGAATTCTAGACCTGGAGGTAATTTCAAAAAGCAGAATTCAGTCATTTGAATTAAGTCGGCAAAGCTACAATCAGATCCCCCTCTTTCAGGAATGACTTTTAGAAATCTGTAAAACATTTCATCTGCCAAGCCCATCCCACCATTCAGAATTGGCCAACAGCGTTAGACGTCCACTTGCATACAGATGTTAGAGTGTGTGTGTGTGTGTGTGTGTGTGAACGTTTGAGGACGTTAAATCAGGAGGAAGTTCATTTGGTTTCCGTGCTTTTTCAGACTCCAGGAGTTTGATCTGCTTTATCTGTTCCCGGTTTGTCTCCAGAGCCACCCTCAACTCCTCCTGATTCTCAATCATCTGTCAGACAGATCACCCATGTTAACGGTTGCGACAACAAAGGGCAGATTTAACATTTTCAAATGTAAAACTCACAATCTCTAGGTTTTCCCGCAGGTCATTTTTGAGCTCATCTCTTTCTGCAGTGAGCAGCTTCTCTGCCTCCTGCAGAGCCTGGTTTTCATCCCGTGTTCCCTGGAGCTCCTGGGATAGCTTTGATATCTGATGACATAAAAACCAGATAAGAGTCAGGATGCCGATCATGAGTGTACGTTTGTGAGCAGCTTCATCAGCATTCGACTCACGTGCTCCTGTAATTTACACTCGTTCTGCTCAGACGTTCTCATCAGATCAAAGATCTTCTGCTTCTGTTCTTCTCTGGAGAGACTGCAGTAGAACGTCCGTCTCTGTGGCCTAAAATAAGAAATGTCAAAACCGTTTACTGTTTATGTCCTGGACAAAGCCTCCACTCCGTCACCCGTAGGTTTCCGAAGAGCTGAATGGGCGGATACCACCACCACCATCTTGAAAGCGTTATACATCTCGTCACTCCCGGAAAACACAAAAATGGAGCTGAGAGCGGAGCTGTGAGGGTGGGAGCTGACGATTGACACCCAACAAACTCTGAGCCAATGTAGCTACGAGCTAACTGAAGCTAATGGGTGTGTTTAGCCGGAAAAGTGAGGTTGAGAGATTCTGCTACTCGCTGCCTTCTAGGCTGCAACCCTCAACATGAGCTCGAGGCTGATGCCTTCGCTTGTGCAAGCAGGAGGGCAAGCTGCTAACGTTAGCACTGAGCTACCTGTCAATCAATGGACATCCTAGTTATTCATAATTTTAAGCTTTAATTACATCTAAACAGATGAGATACAAAAGTCATGTTGTCATGGCTGCAGTCTTGACCTATTAAACCTAAAATGTTTTTTGAACCAGGCTGTAAACATGTTTTTCTGCTGTGAAGCTGGCTTCTTTAACATGGGGGTCGAAGAGTCACCTTGTCCACAAGTGTCTGCAGCTCCATTCTCAGCTGGTCTCTTTCTGCACTCAGAGACATTATGGTGGAACTCAGCTTTTCAGACTCGTCTGCAGAGCTCTGAGCAGAACCACGCAGTTCCGACAGAAGAACCTCCTTCTCTGCATGCTCCCACTCAAGCATTTCTCTCCGTTGCTTTATCTATAAATACAGATTTTAAATTGACAGCAGTTTAGATATCTGACGTCTTTCAAGGCCAGTCAAGTCCCGATCCAGGAGAAGCCATGGCTCTAGCATTACCTCCAAGTCTCGTTCTTGAAGGAAAACAACAAGCGGACTCCTCTCTTCCTCGGACCGCTCCTGCCCTGGGCGGAGTGAATCCAGCTGCTGCCTCAGCTCTTCCTCCTCCTGAGCAGAAACGCTGAGATCTGCTTGAATTTTCTGAATCTCCTCGCTGAACTGCTGGGCCTCCAGCTCACTCCGAGTTTGACCTGAGAGCAGGCCGTCCCTCTCGGTTTTAACACACTGCAACTCCTCAGTCAGGTCACAAACCTGGAACCCGGAAGAATCAAGATGGTTTGATGGAATTAGTGAAGTAGCCTGTCCTTCCTGACATCACCTGTAGAGGGCGCTTGTAGTGCTTACCTGTTTTGTCAAGTCATCCACCTGATCTGGAAGAGTCTTAAATGAAGCCAGCATCTGGAGCTCAGCTCAGAGAGTCTCCTCTGCTTCACGTGAAGCCGTCAGCTCCTTCTCCAGCCGGATCACAGTTCTCTCCAGGTCCAGACTGTCAATCAGACCTGTGGACAGGGCGAAAAAAAAACCAACAACCTCATTTTAAAAACTTCATGACTTCCCTTTTCAAGTCAGGTTATGAATTACCATCAAAAATATGAAGTTACTTTTGGGGACGTTGCCATCGAGCAGAGTGGTGAGCTTGGAGTTTTCGTCAAAAGCAATGTTCAGCTCCTTCTGGAGATCACTGCATCTTTTAGTAGCGAGATTTCGCTGTCTCAAGTTCTAAAAGCAGACCATTCATCTCAGACTCCATTTTCTCCTGTTTGGCAGTTTGGTAAAAATAAAATAATAATAAAAATTAATAAAAAAAAAAGAGGTACAAATCTGGTTACAGTGGGTGTAACAATATCCAAATCTCACAATATGATACCGTCACGATATTGTGAGGAGGTTCACGATAATGAGACTAAAAAAATGGTTTGACCGGTCATTGGTAAATTTACCATTAACGTTACTTTTTTAAATTTAAATCTTTTTTATTTTACATTCTTGATCACTTTTGTACTCCTGCCATCTGTCTGAGTTGTAGTTACGCAAAAATGTCCCCACTGTGGGATCAATAAAGTCTTATCTTGTAATTATGACATTCTGAACAGCCTGAAAAGCCAGTGCTAAAGCGCAAAATTCAAGAAACAACTCAATAAATACTTAGAAAAGAAAAGACAACCCACATACAAGAGCCAAAATACCATACCTAACACAACATGCCACCCAGCTACTGGTGCAATCTACTGTCATCTCCCGCCTCGATTACTGCAATGCCCTTCTAACTGGTCTTCCAGGCTGTACTGTGAGACCTCTTCAAATGGTCCAGAACGCAGCGGCGCGTCTGGTCTTCAATCAGCCAAAAAGAGCACACGTCCCCTCTGTTCATTGAGCTCCAGTGGCTACCGCTAGCAGCACACATCAAATTCAAATTGCTAACACTAGCATACAAAGTCCGAGATGGTACGGCTCCCATCTACCTGAATCCTCTTGCAAAGGCTTACGTCTCGGCCCGGCCGCTCCGGTCATCACAGGATCGTCGGCTAGCAGTGCCTACACCACGCTCAGGACAATCCAGACTCTTCTCATGCATCGTTCCACAAATGTGGAATGACCTTTCAAGCACCAGAACAGGAGTTTCCTTTTCAATTTTCAAGAAACTCCTGAAGACCCTGCTCTTCAGAGAGCATCTTCTTAACTAGCACCCTCCCTGCACCCGTACCCCCTCTCTACTGTCCACTCCTTGTTCCCTACTCCCCATGACTGATGTCATGTTGTTGTTATTGTTGTTGTTAGCCTCAAGGGCAATATGCAGATTATCACTTGTAAGTCGCTTTGGACAAAAGCGTCTGCTAAATACATAAATATAAACATAAATAAAGACATAATAACCCACTCAATAAATAATAATACGCAGGCACTACAAAACTGCCTGGTCATTGATAGTCGGTAATAAAAATACCCAGGCATCACCAAACAGAAAAAGGTTTGGAAGGTAAGCAACAATAAGCCTCTTCTAGTTTATAGAGTTCAGTTGAAGTTGTTTTTAAAAGAAAGTTTAACATGTCAACATTTAAGCGAAGGAGGGCGACTGAACAGGTAATGTCCTCTGCTGTTGAAAATACCCTTTCATTAGGTACTGAGTAGGGCTGGATGATATCGCCTAACCTGAGTGAAGTTGGCCCCCCCACCTTCTTCAAATCCAACAAAAGTGGTATCAAACGTTTGTATCAAACGAAAATTTTTGCAGCACAAACCAGCACAAACGTAGCACAGTTGATTGACATCAATTTTGTTCGATTTGGGTGATGTGGGGGGGCTGGTTGTCCTTTTGATCTTTACATTTTCATTAACATCTCTAAAACAGAAGCAGCACAAACGACAATTTTTGCAGCACAAACGTAGCACAAACGTAGCACAGTTGATTGACACCAGTTTTGTTTGATTCCATTAATGTGAAAAGGGTGGTTGACCTCTGATGACCTCCAGAAATTTTGATTAATATCTTTAAAATGATAGTAGCACAAACGAAAATTTTTGCAGCACAAACGTTTGATACCATTTTTGAAGAAGGTGGGGGGGCCGACTTCACTCAGGTTATGGCCTAACATCAATATCACGATATACTGAGGATTTCACCTGGATAACGATAAATGGATGATAACTACAGGTATGCACAGAAACATAGTTGTCCACTAGATGGGGCTGTCACGTGTATTGCTGAGTCACATTTTTAGTGACTCAAGGTGGTGCAGCTTCTTAAAAGGACATGAACGTTGCCAACCTACACAGTTTAATTTTTTCATCATCAAATTTATTGACATGGGAAATATTACCTCGATAAGTCAGAAATTTCGATGACGATAAGTTTGATTTATTGCCCAGCCCTAGTACTGAGGTAGCTGGTATACAAAGATACATCTTGGCTAATGATGACAGCTTCTAAAAGTGACAATAACAAAACACAGGAGTGACCTCACTTACATTTGACTCTTCCAAACTCATGTTTTCGCTCTGGAGGAATGCCCATTCCTTCTTCGTATCCCTGCTCACCCCCTCTGCATCATCCAGAGAGCGACGCAGCTTGGCGACCTCCTGCACCAAGTCCTTACCGCTCTGCAGAGATCAGACGGTGAAACAACTCAGCAGCAGCTCAGTGGAAAACTTCAGAGCTTCCAAACCGTTAGAGGTGTGAGACAGCTGGGCAAGCATCACAGTTCATCAACAACTAAAGTAAATAACAAACGTACCATCTTTTGAAGCTATTCAGCAAATTCTGTTTTCTTAGTCAGCTCCTCAAACAAGAACAAGCCTGAAGTTTGTTTTGAAGCAACAAACCAAACAAAACAAACACAAAAAAAAGGTTACGGCTTCATCTTTTAACCCTGGATAACTCAACAACTCAACCATGAGGGCATGTGAGTTGTCCACCTGTGGTCGGACCACTCCAGAACCATGACCGTAGTTTTTATGAGCAGGACGTGTGATCATCAGCTTACCTGAAGCTCGAGGCGCTGTGCTTCAGATGATTTAACGGCTTCCTTCAGGCTACAGATTTCACTGCGTTACTCGGTCTGAAAACCCCCACCAAAAATATAAACAGTTCAAATATAAAAGCACATTTTGATAACATTAATCCTAATTTCTACCTGTTATTATAAAGGATTAAAGGCCTGGTTTGTTTTGTACTGATTTTTACCTCCAGTTCCTTGTTGATCTTCCCCTCCAGTGACTCAAACTCGTCCAGGTCGTTGATCTCCTTCAGCTCCTGCGACAGAGCAGCATTCTCTTTCTCCAGGTGCTGCGTTTGCTCCATGAACATCCCCAGCTCCTGTTTCAGGTAGTCCCTCTCAGCCATGGACGTAATTTTGGGGGGTTACAGGGGGGACATGTCCCCCCCACTTTTTCCAAAGTCAAGTTTTGACCCCTGCACTTTTTACCATCCAAAAACAACATTACGCTATATTAAATTGACACTAGTTGAGCTCTAGGACCAAGCGGAAAACAACTGTTTGTGTTGAAGCCTGTTTCCCATTAGAGCTTACTGTAAAGATTACCCTCACCCCCCCACCCCCCACTCCGTGTCCCCCCCCCCACTTCTTAAGTGAAAATTACGTCCATGCTCTCAGCTATGATCTGGTCCGAAAAAGCACACATTCTTCGGGATTTGAATGGATTTAGTGTGGGTTTATTTTAAGAAAAGCTTCTTCCTTACCTTCTCTGTAGCCAAAGTTTCACTCAGCTGAATGGTTTCTGCAAATTCCCTCCCCATCTGGGAAAAAACACCTTTCAGTCAACGCTGAATTCCAAAGCTAGAGAGGTAGAATTCATTTAAACGCAGCCGACCTGTTTAGCATCAGCTTGGCTCTGCTCCTGCAGCTGCCACTCCAGGTCGGCCAACTTCTGCTCTCCATTTTCTCCGCTGCTTCATGTTTCTGCAGAGCTTCTGATTGACGCCAGGGACACACCGGCCGCGGAAGCGAATCGCTCACGAAATTCGGCCGCTCCTCAGTTCAGATCAGACGCGCTCCAGTCGAGGTGCGCCTCGGCTCAGCTGTAGTTTTTCTTTTAACCACTTGGTGTCCTCCATTTCCTCTCTGCCTTTTCCTCCACGTTTGTGTGCGTGTGTGTGTGTGTGTGTGTGTGTGTGTGTGTACCTATGGTATGAACCAGTTGTTTCTGCCAGTTGTATCCTAGCATTTCTTCCGAAATGGGTAAGTAAATAACCATGTTTTTATTCTTCAACAAAGCTTGTCGTTTGTACAATAAAAATTCTCTTCCTGTTTCTCAGTGCCATTCATCCGGGGGAGAGTCGTTGTCCTGTATCTCTGGTTGCGCATGTATTGCCAAAGAAGAAATAAAAGACTGTGGGTCCACCCAATAAACAAAAAAAGAAAAACACATGGAGTATTTCATACTCTTGTGGCGGAATTGTCTCTGGACAGTGATCGCCACATGAAATACTTCAGGATGTCTGCAGAACAGATGGATCGTATCTGTCCTTGATAGAACCAGATCTCACAAAACAAAACACTAATTTCAGGGAATCAATCGAGCCAAAACAATGACTTGCTGTAAAACTGAGGTAAAGTAAAAAATACATAATCACTGTCAGTCTATAATCTAACCCTTTCTGGCTATTTCTTTTTGTCCTGTGATGATCATTTTGCTATCTAAATTTAATTTTATTTTTTACAGCTACATACTGTCACAAATCAGATCTTTCATTTTCATAATTAGGGCTGCACAATATATCGAAAAATTATCGTCATCGCGATAACAGGACGTGCGATAGGCCCATCGCAAAACACGGCAAAAATAGCGATAAATGTTTGGTTCAAACATTTCTATCCGTGTCATACATCAGCTTTTTGTAAACCAGCTGTTTTTTACGCGGAAGTATTATTTGACCAATCAAATGTAGCCCTTTTGAATCAGATGGTTCCCTTCACGTATGCCTGCCCCCTACATAGACCCTTTTGGAAAGCAACACCCGAACAGTTTGCGGCGCCGTTCCCTTGTTCGTCATGCTGGCTCAGAGCAGCGAACGCACTTTGTGCTGAGGTTTCTGGAATCAGCGCTGCTTTCAAATATGAACGTGACTCCGCTCGGTGTCGTTAATCATTTTTACCGGGCTGACTCCGACACGTGCCGGTGAACCAACCCACCTTCATGTCGCTAGTGTTAGCCCCAGGCTCCGGTTAGCTTCCAGCTAAAAGGCTACAGCACTCTCCTCCCAGTCCCACCCTGCTAAATAATAATAATAATATAATAATAATCATAATAGCCTTTATTGTCATTGTACAGGATACAAAGAAATTGGAGTGCCACTCCCTTGGTGCACAATACAATAATACCTCTAAATATAAAGGTCCCCTAAAACAAAACAATAGTAAGTAACAAAACAATAGTAAGTAACAAGATAATAGTAAGTAATATATGCCGACTAGCACCCTATTTACATAATAGCAGCTACCATATCATGTAAAAAAAATGGCATGTAAAAAAAATGGCATGGAGGGCCAAAAAGAGGGCCTGGAAAAGTTCCCCCACACATCAAAGTGATTTTTCCTTTATGAGCTTTTATAACCTTGTTAATCAGGATAGTTGATTTGCTGCTGCATATAAACAGTCAGAAGCTCTGCTAGCCGGTTATCTTAGTTCAATTTGTTAGCTTGTTATCAGAATCATAGTTGCAGTTTCATCATCTGAGCTGCTTTTTAAGATCTAGGTAAACTTGTTCAATTTGGGGTTAAAAACAAACATTTTCACATATTTTCCATGTAGTTTTTTTTTTGCCAGTTCCTCTTCTGAAAGGTAGACAATTGTTTTTCTCTTACCCTCAGAAAATCTTAATGTTCTCCTAGTTTGGCCCAGCACAGTTCACTTCCCAACTGCAGCAACAGCCTTATATCATAACCACATAAGTGGAGAAAATGCTCAGTAGCAATGAGAGAATTTGCTGTTGCATTTAAGTGATGTTAACTATTATTTAACATTTAAAGTAATTTTCAGATTTTTTTATTTATTCTAAAAACCCTGGTAAGGGATGTTTTTCTGTATTTGGAGCATCAGAAAAAGTTTTATGGTGGAGGTGACGTTTTAAAGTCACTGAGAAACTGCATGCATGCAGTTTGTTGTTTTGCTGCTAATACAGTAGCAGGTGCAGCTGCATATTTTTGCAATAAAAATGTTATGTTGTAATGGAATTCATGCATTAGTTTTTGTTTGCTTTGAGCCCAGAGCAGACATCACACGCCAGACGACATCAACACTGCATACTTTAGTATATCCAATCCAATTTTATTTATAAAGCGCATTCACAAGGCATTACAACCAAACAAGGCGCTGCCTTGCCTATTTGTTCATTTATCATGAGTAATATCGATATCACAATATCGATATCACTGTTATCGAATATCGCAGGTTTTCCTAATATCGTGCAGCCCTATTCATAATGGATACGTGTATTCATGAGAAAGTCTTCAAGAAATTATTCAAATGTTCAAGTAAATACAGAAATGTGTAATTCTTATTATTGTGACAATTTTTAATTTGTACTTTTAATAGTTTTATCTAAAAACAACCTGTAAGTGACATGAGATGTAAAGCAGAAAGGAATTTTTCAAACCTGATGTTTATTTTTTATTTTTGTTTAAACAGCAAACTCTCTTAAACATTTAGTAAACCAAAGGAAACATGCATTTATAAACATAGTATTGTTCTCCTTGAAAAGTTAAAATAAAAACTCCACAACAAATTACAGTCAATTTTCTTTAAAAACAAAGCTCACTTTTTGTATCCACATTGTGGTGCACTTATTGGAACTTTAACAAGTAACTACTTATTTGTAAATAAGATGTTGAGGGTCTGACCTCATGAGGAAATTACTATGCAGTGATTTTCTCTAAAATGACTGTGCTTAAATTGCTCTGAAAAGCAAATAATCACATCAGCGCCAAGAAACTTCATTTCCCATGATGCTTTGCACACGGAAGCATTGGGTGATGTTACCGCCTAGTACCAGAAACACGTTCTGCGCATGTGCGGGAAGCCGTGGAGCTTTCCCCGCGAACTAAGACCATAAATCTTCAGCAGAGACAAAGAAACCTCGTTCTTTTGCCCAGGATACCTGGCGGTGAGGACACGCTTGTCGAACGCTCCGACTTCTTTGAGCACGCGGAAGCTCTAAGAGCCAAGTTGAGCCCACGGGACCGCTGATCTGCTCGTTTCTGCTCCCCTCCAGCTGATGTTTGAGGACATAGAACCAGCGGAGGGAAACAACAACTCCATCCAGCTCTCAGAAACGCTGTAAGTTGTCAAACTCAGCCCAAAAGGAACTTCGTTTTCTTTGTGTCCAGCCGTGGAGAAACACTCGTGGAGCCAAACAACGGAGAAAGCATCAAACCGGCGGATGACGCTGAAAACTGCGGAGAAACACGGAGAACCGTCAAATCAAAAGGGGGAGGGACGCCTCGCTCTTTTGGTGATCAGAAAACTCATTTTTCTCTCATTCTTTTCTTCTCCCGTTTCCTCTATAGTCCAGAATAAGCAATAAAACCGCGCTATTGCTTAAAAAAAGTAGCTTCGTGTTTTCCTCTTTCGTTCCAAATTCGTCCTTCGGGTCATTTTGAAAGAATAAACTGCTTATTAATCATTGTTTGGTATCTTTAAATGTTCGGCCATGGCCAGGCTGATAAACTAAGGATATTAACTCGTGATTAATCTTTTGTGTTGTTGCATGATCCTTTGAAATGTTTTGAGTGATTTAAGGTTAAGTTACTACTGATTCTAAGTGCTTTGGAAGTTAAAGTGCAAGTTGCCACCCACACTTTAGCCAGACAAAGGAGTCAGCCATCTTGTATTCAAGACTCCATTTTGAATCCATACACACGCACACACACTACTCCTTTGTGAGAACAAAGGACCCCATTCATACATCCTACATACACACAAAACACCTTGAACATTATTTTGAATATACATCCTTTTATTATATCACATGGTTATTATTCATTTATGCCACTGTTTATTCATTTGACAAATTGTTAATTAAACGTTATAAAATTCAGATTTTCGTCTCCAGTAGCTTTGTTGTGTCGAAGAGAAGTCTCTGCTCCAAGGATTCTACGAACTTCAAGAAAGACTGATAAGAGTTTTGGATTCAATTTTTCCCCGGAAAAAGGGGAATGGTGCCCCGTATATCTAAGAATATCTTAATTAATTAATAAATCAGTAAATATTCCCATATTTACAGAATTTATTGAAGAATCCAAAAGTAAGTTGAAGCTTACTAATTGTTCGCTCCTAATAACCCCAACATTTTATTGGTGCCCCGTGTGAGGCTTGGATACACAGAGATTTCTATCCGGCACAAACAAACAAATAAATCCAAAGAGCTTGAATTAAAAATAATCAGTTGTTCAGCCTTGGACCAGCAACAGAGTGGTGCTGATTTCGCTGAGCAGGAAGCTGCATCGAACTCTCACCAGTAACTCAGTGCTTCTTTAAAGGTGCAACGTGTAAATTAATTCTGGTTGACCTTTTAGGTTAAAAATTCAGTTTTCCTTAAAGGTGCAATGTGTAATTAATTCTGGCTAACCTTTTAGGTTAAAATTCAGCTTTTCCTTAAAGGTGCAACGTGTAATTAATTCTGGCTAACCTTTTAGGTTAAAATTCAGTTTTTCCTTAAAGGTGCAACGTGTAATTAATTCTGGCTAACCTTTTAGGTTAAAATTCAGTTCCTCATTAAAGGTGCAGCGTGTAAGTAATTCTGACTAACCCTTTTAGGCTAAAATTAACTGCTAATTCAGCGACTTTAACTCACAGTGGCTATTATAACTAACTGAAACCTTCACTCAAAGACTGATAACACCCTGTTTGCTAATATTCTGAAGGAATAACTAGCATATTTAACACTGCAAGTGTTGTAAGACGTTGCTACGGCAACGCACCAGCTTTTGCTAAAATACTGAAAGGAATAGTATTTTAAGCGTCAGTCACGGCATTCCGTGCAATCTTAAAACGCTAAAACCTGTGCGCACAAAGGTTAATTTAGTGTTTTTCTGCTACAAAGCTAGCAGTTGCTGCCAAAGGTGCAGCCTTGAGCTATCTGCAGAAGCTCTACTAGGCTATTTTTGGTTCGGTTGTTAAAAATGGAGGGACAGAGTAGTGAACTGACCAACTCCCAGCAACCAGGTGGCGCTGCGGCCCACGACTATGAACCTGGCCTACTTTCTGGACAAATATTGTCCAAACTGGTCGCGGTTGCTCGAGAACCCGACTACCCTTCTAGGGATTTCACTGAAGAACAGCGTAGCGTCGAGCTAGAAGCTGTAATTGATCAAATAGAAAACCCGGATGGTACAAAACCAATCCAGGTTCACTTAGCTAAGTTAGCCCTGATCCTCTATCAGAGAGGACTCCAACGTGGTCAGAAGATCATGAACCTCCAGAGTATGCTAGCTGAAAAACAGCGAAATGGAAGGCTGATCGAGGAAGACAACACCAGCACCGATTCTGGGGAAGATGGGGAGGAGACCCCGTTCCCCTCTGCTGATGACAACAGACAGTGGGAAGGGGGGAAACACCATGACTCTCTGGACGGACGCACGCCGCAGGGGAGAGATGAAGCTCATCTGTTCCAACCTTCGGCCCCGTTCCCTACACACACTATAGGGCATTCAGGACCATCTAGGGGCCGAGGGCAGTTCGCCCTCGAACCCCAGGTTGGACCACCACCCTCATCTTCACGGCCTTCTCAATCAGTGAGAAGTCGACCAGCTGAGCGGCACCTCTATTTAGACCGCTCCCCCAGTCCACAAAGGGTGCAAGGTGCCGATTGGGGTTATGCACCCCAAGCTGCACCTCAACCATCCACCCATCCTAGCTACTCCGGTATTCGGCATGCCGGTAACCAGCTGCAGGACAAAGCATCATACGCCAGTCCGTACCCGGACAGAGCGTATTACGCAGAAGCCCCAGTTGAAAGACGCAGGCTGCACTACGCAGACGTGCCCCGGGAGGAGGACCTCCCAAGACACCCACGTGACGTGCCAGCAGCCCGCCACCACATGCCGAACCCCGATTTGGGCCCCAGGAGTCAACATTGGGAGCCCAGAGCACACCAGCGATATCCAGCGCCTTCTGAGACAGACCGTGGGTCAGAGTCAGAGGATGACGCGCCGTACCGTGAGTCAGGGCTCCGTGTACGTCAAATTGAATCGCTAGCTAAAGACATAGAACGCTTTGATCCTAACACCAATGAATCCAATGTCGACGATTATCTCAGGGAGATAGAACGTTGTCTGCTTGATCTTCCAGCACCCTCTTCAAGGGAAAAGCTCAAGCTAATTTGGAAAACCACATCTAGAACGGTGCACGGTTTCATGGAAACTCTACCACCTGACATTCGTGATCGGTACTCCTCGCTCTGCCGAGCGTTGAGAGATGAATACGCCACGTATGCAGACTCTGCGTCAGCTACAATGGGGGCCTTCTCCATCAAACACGGGAGGAACGAACCCCCCAGAGAGTATTATCGCCGACTCAAAAGTGCTTACTTCCAAGGTCGAAACGGTCCTGGGCTCGAGGAAGACCCTGCCTTCAGATCCCTTTTCATTCACAACCTGCACGAGTGTGTTCGCTCCGAAGTCTCAATGTATTGTCGGATGAAAAAACTGACAACTCAGGAGATTAGGAGATACGCTCAACAGGCTTGGGAAGCTGGCGGGAAGCCCCAAAAGCCTGACGCACATCACCGCGTTATGCACCTAGCTCCCGACGCCGAGCCGCGTTTGGAGCTCGAAGGCACAGAAGCTCCACCCACTAAGCCAAAATCTGCTAAACCTAGACCTGTTAAACCGCGAGAGCAGTCCCAATCTCCTCAACAGGGGAAGGGGGGTGCTGATTGGCCGCCTAGGTCTGGACAATCAGACAGGAAGTGGCCCAACCAAAACCAACGGCAGGCAGGTCGGAACAGTGGAAGGTTTAAGGAGCGCCGCCCACAGGTAGGTCCCGAACACGAGTCCGCAGGTGAGTACTTGACCAAAGCCGACGTCCAGGAGATGTTTCAGCAGTTTCTAGCTAAACAGAAGGAACAGCTGAGATCTGCAGAAGAAACCCTTGCACCAAAGTCGTCTTCTAAGAAGCCAGACCCAGAGCCAACGTCCGCATGACTAGGCGTGGCTCAACCCCCCAGCGTGGCCAGGACCTACCTGATCAGCTGGGGGAACACTACTGGTAGATCACAGGAGTCTCCTGAAATCTACCCCCCAGAGAAACCTGATGCTAAATTTCTGAAGTTCCTTGGTGACTTAACAAACCATGATCATGCTCGCCGTTTGTACTGTAGCACCAACGTAGGTGGATGCATACAGGTTGATGCTCTGCTGGATACCGGCTCAGAAATCACCCTGATGTGCTCCACGCTGTTCCATCGCGTGTCTGACACCATGCGGTCACTCGGGAAACCAGTCCAGGTAGAGCCCTGTGACCTGAAAATCACCAGCTACACCCAGACCCGGGAGTGTATCACTCACCGGGCGTGGCTGGACATCACCTTCCAAGACATGACTCTGGTTCACCCGTTTTATGTCTGCCAGCTAGACACTGAACCACTTCTCGTTGGTCAGGACCTGCTTGAACGTCTAGCTCCCCTCATCGACTGCCAGAAGGGTCAACTGTGGGCCCAGGTGGAAACACCTAAGCCCTGGAACCCGGATAGCAGCCGACCATCCTCCATTCTTGAAGTCAGCCTAAGTGAGCCGCAAAACCCTTGTTCCAAGGTCATGCCC